CAAAAAAAGCAGACAGGGGACTCGGATGACCTGTTTGACCAGCAGTGGCGTCAGAGAGGTGGGCTGCATGTGTGCACAGTGCCACCTAGTGTTCGCTTGAGGTACAGGCCGGTGGCACCAGGAGTTGGAAACAAGAGAGCTAACCAGAATGCCAAAACCAACCAGAGGGATTTCTGGCAGGGGGGAAGAGGGGGCTTTCTGCAGCGCCTCCTTGCAGGGGGGGGGGTGAGGGAGAAGCATCCCATCCCAAGCACAGCTTGCTTCCACAGGCCCAGTCAGCCATCTGCACATTTCCAGCAAGAAGGCAGGCCCTTAAGAGTCACGCTCCAGGGTCCGAACCTGAGAGGCGAGACCCTTGTAGAGGGGGCTCACAGGCAGCTGCTTAGAGGTGCCCCCCTCCCACCCCCACCCCACCTACTTTGCAGGAACTCCCCAAGAGGGCACCGTCCGGGCTCCACGCCAGACTCTGGAGAAGATCGCCGTGGGGTTCCAGCTCTGGGAGAAAGGAGGGAACCCGTCAGCCTCCCAGCACCGAACATCCCGGCAGCAGAGCCAGCCGTGAGCGGCCAGGCGGGCATCAGCCATCAGGGGTGGGTGGGGGGCCCCTGCCACCTTGAGGCCCCGCTGTCCCGAGGGTGAGGCAGGCAGGCAGGCAAGACTCAACCTCCCCCCCCCCCAACGCTTTAGAATGGCAATTTCACACACTCTATTCCAGTCCAGGAGCCCCTTTGAGCCCAACAAGGTTTTCGGGGTAGGAACTTTCGGGAGTCAAAGCAGAGCTCCTACTCCCAAAATCCTGTTGGTGTCTGAGGTGCGGCTGGACTGGGATCTGGCAGTTTTAAACATGCGCCTGCTGTTAAGGCGAAGCGCCACCACAAAACCTCAGAGAAGATGAAAAGCCACATAACATAAGAGGACATAAGAGAAGCCAGTGTTGGATCAGGCCAGTGGCCCATCCAGTCCAACACTCTGTGTCACACAGTGGCCAGAAATACCAGGGGCCATCAGGAGGTCCAGCAGTGGGGCCAGGACACTAGGAGCCCCTCCCACTGTTGCCCCCCCCCCAAACACCAAGAAGACAGAGCATCCCTTGCCCCAGACCGAGAGTTCCTATCTGTACCTTGTGGCTAAGAGCCACGGATGGACCTCTGCTCCATATGTTCATCCAATTCCCTCTTATAAGAACATAAGAGAAGCCAGTGTTGGATCAGGCCAATGGCCCATCCAGTTCAGCACTCAGTGTCACACAGGGGCCAAAAATACCAGGGGCCCTCAGGAGGTCCAGCAGTGGGGCCAAGACACCAGAAGCCCTCCTACTGTTGCCCCTCCCCCCCAAGCACCAAGAATACAAGAGCATCCCTTGCCCCAGCCTGAGTGTTCCTATCTATCCCTTCTGGCTAAGAGCCACGGATGGACCTCTGCTCCATATGCTTATCTAATTCCCTCTTGAAGCCGTCCATGCTTGTAGTTGCCGCCACCTCCTGTGGCAGTGAATTCCACATGTTAATCCCTCTTTGGGTGAAGAAGTACTTCCTTTTATCTGTTCTAACCCGACTGCTCAGCAATTCCATGGAGTGCCCACGAGTTCTTGTATTGTGAGGAAGGGAGAAAAGTACTTTTTTCTCTACCTGCTCTAGTCCATGCATAATCTTGTAAACCTCCAAGCTGAAGAGCCGCAACCTTCCTTCACAGGGAAAGTGTTCTAACCCTTTTATCGTTCTAGTTCCCCCTTTCTGCCCTTCTTCCAATGCTCTCTTATGCTGAGCAAACTTGGGGTCGCCTTCCACTCCTTGCATTTATTTGTTTAGAAAATTTTTGTTCTGCCTCTCCAGGGAACCTGCTTGAGGAGACTATCAAAACAAAGCATAAAATGTTAAAAGCTATTAAAATCCAGAGTTAGAAAACGCACCTAGAGCACTCAGGCCGATATTTCAGTAGCAACCGTCTTGAGACCAAAAAGCACGCTACAAAATGGTATTAAAAGATCAGCTCCTTTATTAAAAAGTCTGGGTGAACGGAACCATTTTGACGTGGCACCTAAAAGAGAGCCGTTGTAGGTGGCAGGTGTGCAAGGTGCCACCACTGAAAATGCCCTGTCTGTGGTTGTCACTCACATCCAGAGGTCATTTCGGGGGGGGGATCGCGGGGGAACGCAGTTCCCCTGGGTGAGGTGCGGGAGGCGGGGCACATGATGAAGCCCCGCCCCCTGCTTCCAGCCGCCCCACTTCCGGCCCTCATTCAGCCAGGAGGAGGCAGGAGAAGAGGGAGGGTAAGTTGCTCCCCCCCCGCCTCTCCCCACCCCTGCCTGCCTGGGGCTAGGGAGGGCCTTCGTGGGGCTTCCTTAAGAACATAAGAACATAAGAGACGCCAATGTTGGATCAGGCCAAAGGCCCATCCAGTCCAACACTCTGTGTCACACAGTGGCCAGAAATACCAGTGCCATCAGGAGGTCCAGCAGTGGGGCCAGGACATTAGAAGCCCTCCCACTGTTGACCCCCCCCAAGCACCAAGAAGACAGAGCATCACTTGCCCCAGAGCCCCTAGCTATACCTTGTGGCTAATAGCCACTGATGGACCTCTGCTCCATATGCTTATCTAATTCCCTTTTGAAGCCGTCCATGCTTGTAGCACCCACCACTTCCTGTGGCAGTGAATTCCATGTGTTAATCACTCTTTGGGTGAAGAAGTACTTCCTTTTATCCGTTCTAACCCGACCGCTCTGCAGTTTCATGGAGTGCCCACGAGTTCTTGTATTGTGAGAAAGGGAGAAAAGTACCTCTTTCTTTACCTGCTCTTTCCCATGCATAATCTTATAAACCTCGATCATGTCACCCCTCAGTCGTCTTTTCTCCAAGCTAAAGAGCCCTAAGCGCTTTAACCTTTCCTCATAGGGAAAGTGTTCCAACCCTTTTATCATTCGAGTTGCCCTTTTCTGCACTTTTTCCAAAGCTATAATATCCTTTTTAAGGTGTGGTGCCCAGAACTGCACACAGTATTCCAAATGAGGTCTCACCATTGATTTATATAGGGGCATTATGATATTGGCTGATCTGTTTTCAATACCCTTCCTAATAATCCCCAGCATAGCATTGGCCTTCTTTATTGCAGTCACACACTGTCTCGACATTTTCAGTGAGTTATCTACTACAACTCCAAGATCTCTCTCTTGCTCAGTCTCTGCCAGTTCAGACCCCATCAATGTGTATTTATATTTAGGATTTTTGGCTCCAATGTGCATCACCTTGCACTTGGCCACATTGAACCCCATTTGCCATGTTGACGCCCACTCGCCCATCCTTGACAGATCCCCTTGGATCTTCCTCGCACTCCCACCGGCCTTGCAGGTCCACCGCCAGGCCCCTGATGTCAGGGGGTGTGGCATATGCTAACGAGTTATGCTAATGAGTTCCCCTAGCTCTTTTTCTACGAAACAACCCCTGCTCACATCACATACGAAGGCGGACACACAGAAAGCAGGGCTTGTTGTGAGGCAGATCGTAACCGCTGAGCTGGAGAGTGCAGTATTGTCTGCTCTGACTGAAGACGGGCAGCCATGTTAGTCGGTCTGTAAGCAGTAGAAAAGAGCAAGAGACCAGGAGCACCTTCAAGACCAACAAAGAGCTCCTCCCCTGCCACAAATGTTGTTAGCCTTTAAAAGGGGCTGCTGGACTCTTCCTCTTTTCCGTCTCACATCTGGAGAGTGGCCCCGCCATGTGACTGGGCGCCATTCAACCGGACCCCTCATTTTCTGCCCACACGAGGTGGCGGGCTCTGCCCCTCCAAAGCACCCCCCTTTGGGTGTTTCCTTTGGAGTCTCTCCGTCATTTGCACCCGATGACCCCTTTCCCCCTCCCATCCCTCAGCCACAGACTCAGAACCATTCCCACATTTGCAGGGAGAACACAAGGTATTTAATCCGCCACAGAATTTGTCACACGCAGGGTCATTGCCAACAGACTGGTCAGAAATCCAAATAACTCTATAGAAAAGTCCGCAAAGATAGCTTTGAGAAATTAGCAGCAGCTGGGTGCTTCTTAATGGGGGGGAAAGTATAGAATTCCGAAATCTAGGCTGACAAATGTTATACCTTTCGGTTTGGCTGCCCACCATCTTGGAAAATGGCTGCCGTTGTTCCAGAGAGTGCTGTGGAAGTTGAGAGGGGGCTGGGGGGGAAACTGTCGGCAACCAGCAGCTTTTTTCTCAACCCAAAAAACACCCATTGCGTTTGAAAATCCAGGCGGACAAATTTTCCACTGCTGGGTTGTATTTCCATTCACCCCCCCCCCCAATAAGGTTCACTTTCTGTTTTTGGAATTGCTTAATATTTAATGCTTGCAAAGTGAGACATTTTTATCGTTATACAATATTGCTTAGTGGAGAGGCTCTTTATGATAGCCAAGTAACCCTCAGTCACTCGTCGACGGCTTCTCTTCCAAATGAAACCATGGCAGGTATCATTTCGAAAGCGCTCTAGCAAAGCTAACTGTAAGAACAACAGAACAAAGTTTGACTCCGGTTTCACCTTTGAGTCTAACAACGTTTTATTCAAGGTATAAACTTATAAGACTTTGTTGGTCTTAAAAGGTGTACTGGATTCAAAATTTTGCTCTGCTGCTTCCGACCAACATGGCGTCCCACCTGAATGTAAAAACAATGTGGTGACTACCCAAAACACAAAGAGACGGATCCTGCTACGCCGTGCCGCAAAAGGCACGTACAGACCTGCCCCCTGCAGCCGCCTCTGGAGGCTGAAAAGGCCGTGTTGAGGGAGGGGGGGGGGTCTGGGCTGCTTCCATGTGGGGGCATGAAACGGCAGCCCGGAAGAGGAAGAAGCAGGAGGGTGGATGTGGGTGGGGGTCCTGTTCCGGTGCCACCTGCTGCCCACGCTATGCCTGCCCCTCCATCACACAGGTGGAGACAGGGCACTGCCCGCCCCCCTTCTTTCAAAGCACCACAGCTCAGCTCTGGGCTGGGGGGGGGGGAGAAGCCCGCTAGAGAGCTAGAAGGGCGGAGGGGAATGTGGAGGCTGAGCACGGTCCTTTCGAAAGCGGAACTCCGCTCCACGCCCGCCGACTTGAGCTTGCCGTGTGCAGCGCCTCCCTATACATAAGTGTGTATCAGTTGTGATTGAATCCTGCTCTTTAAAACTTTACTACTGTTAAGAGAAAGATAACAGCCAGACGGACTGGTTAGCGTGACAGACTTAACAGGCGATGTTGGTCAAGGATGAAGCCTTGGAATGTTGGCTGGAAAAGGTCACGTTTATTAAATCGCTAGCATGCAAGGCCCTGCCGAACAGTGGGTAAAATGGGTAGGTAGAAGGCTGGGGGTTTTTAATCTCCATCTCTCTCAAGGTCGGAGGATCCGCCCACAGCTGAGCCAGACTACCGGGAGGAGAATCTGATCTGTGGCTGGCAAGACTGAAAGTTTTATTTCCCTCTTGCTGGAGACTTTGCCTGGAACAAGAACCTGCCTGGAACGAGAGCCTGCTTTTAAAGACAAAGTGAGACAGTTCAAGCAGGCTGGGTTCTTTTTAAAGTTTTCTGTTTTGGACTCTTGAAGGTACTGATCTTTGTTCTTTCGTAAAATAAACTGTCCTTCTTTTGAAAGACTGTGGTTATTGAATGAGCATTTGAGACATGACAAGGAAACGGACCGCGGCACCTCTAGTGAGTTCCCCTTTCTCCAGGTTGGGAGGAGGGCTGTATCACAGGGTGCATCTCAAACTTAAGAACACAAGAGCCTCGGGACATGGAGGTTCCCCTCAGTCACCATGGCTAGTAGCCACTGATAGATTCACGGAGGACAAGTCCATCTCATCCCCTTTTAAAGCTGCTTATCCCTGTGGCCATCACTACATCCTCTGGCAGCGAATTCCACATTTAAATCACTCTCTGTGTAAAGTAGTATTTCCTTTTGTCCATCCTGAACCTCCTGCCCGTCAGCTTCATTGGATGCCCTCATGTTGTAGTCTTTTAGGAGAGGGGGGGAAAGTTCTCTTTGTTAGTGTTTGAGCAGTGGAACAGTCTGCCTCGGGAGGTGGTGGATGCTCCTTCGCTGGACGTTTTCAAGCGGAGGCTGGACGGCCGTCTTCCGGGTATGTTGTAGGGCTCTCTTTCGGCTGTGCTCCTGCAGAGTGCTGGGGGTTGGACTAGATGACCTGCAAGGTCCCTTCCCACTCTTAACATTCTATGATTCTATGATTCTATGATAACTCTCTCCACCCCACGCAAAATTGCCCTAAGGTCTCCCCCTCTAAGTCAGCACGAAGGAGGTTTTTCTTTGCTCCGGCTTTAAGAGGAAAGCCCCCAAATCCCCAGGAGCCTCACTCCGAAGGAATGCAACGTCGCATGGGAGCTCCCCGAAGAAGGAGGCGCATCCAGCGGGCCACACAGGGCAAAGCCACCGTGCCTAACCGACCCCGCAGAGCTGAGAATCCACCCCAAACAGGCAGCTGCGAAGAGGAAGTGGAAGAGGAAGCGGTCGCGGTGACATCTCCGGTCTTGCACCAGCAGAGACGCTGCTGCTGCTAGAAGGCAGCTTCCGGCTCCTGCAGCAACGGGGCCGAGGAGAATCCCTCCCCATGTGCTTCACCCCCCTCCCCGGCAGGCCCCAAAACGGACACTGGCTCTCCTCTGTGACAGCAGGGGTGCAAGATGCCCTATGGACAGGGCCCCCAGCCAGTCCCAGTGCCATGTTTGCAGGGGCCTGAGGGATAAGGAAGGGGGGGAAACACGCTCCTGCTGCAGGATGGGGGGGAGGGGTGCCAGTGGTTTCTGGAAAGCCCCCCCCCCCCAAGCTGGTTTGTCATCTGTTGCACTCAGCCCCAGAGCATCAGCAGCTTTTGGCGCAGCGGCAGTTAGCTCTGCAGCCGAACACTCTGCCAGCTCCGTCTTCTTCCCAGTAAACATCTTTCATTTTTGAGGAAGGACAGCTCTGCCCGACCGGACTTTTCACACACAGCGGCCAAAGATCTGCCCTGGAGGGCCAACAAACTGGGCGGGGAGACCACGAAGGACCTGGAGGGTGGAGCCAGTTTGGTGTCGTGGTGAAGGGCGCGGACTCTAATCTGGGAGAACCAGGTTTGATTCCCCCACGCCTCCACTCGCAGCTGCTGGATGACCTTGGGCAAGCCATAGTTCTGATAAGAGTTGTCCTTGAAAAAGAGCAGTTTCTGTCAAGAGCTCTCTCAGCCCCACCCAACCTCACAGGGTGTCTGTTGTGGGGAGGGGAAGGGAAAGGAGTTTGTAAGCCACTCTGAGACTCCTTTGTGTAGTGAAGGACGGGGTATAAATCCAATCTCCTCCTCCTCTTCTTCTTCTTGAAAAAGAGCAGTTTCTGCCAGAGCTCTCTCAGCCCCACCTCCCTCACAGGGTGTTTGTTGTGGGGAGGGGAAGGGAAAGGAGTTTGTCAGCCGCTCTGAGACTCCTTTGTGTAGTGAAGGACGGGGTATAAATCCAATCTCCTCCTCCTCCTCTTCTTCTTCTTCTTGAAAAAGAGCAGTTTCTGCCAGAGCTCTCTCAGCCCCACCTCCCTCCCAGGGTGTCTGCTGTCGAGAGGGAAAGGAAAGGAGTTTGTAAGCCACCCTGAGACTCCTCTGGGTAGTGAAGGGCCATGGGGCATAAATCCAATCTTCTCTTCTTCTTCTACTTCTTCTTCTGCTCTCCATGGCTCAGCCCAACACTCTGGTGGTATTTTCTTCACTGCTGTCTGGTTGAAGCTGGCTTGGGGACGCTGACCAAATATCTCCTCATCTCTTCTGTGTGCGTGTCCAAACGTCTTTGCGCCCAGAGAAACTTCAAGGCAACCTTCAAGAGCTTGTCCACAGGTTATCAGACACGCGGCCGTCAAGAACGTGTCGATGGGCTATTCGACCTTCCCCCCTGGCAGTCAGATCCGGCGTATTCCCAGGGCCAGCAACCCTGATGCTACAGAAGCCACCGAGACAGACACGGTTCCCTGTACGAGAGACACAACACTCGCTCGGAGCTCCCGTCGCAGCCCCTTGACCGGCCCACTCAACGCCGGACTTTGGAAGCAGCGACAAGAAGGTGGACAATCTCTCTGCCCGATTCACAAATTCCTTCCCGCCAGCAAGCACAAGCCGAAACTACTTCAGGGTGTTTCACAAGGAGGCCTCTCGCAAGACGTTCCTCTCGTCTCATGAAGGCGCCTCTCAGACAGGAGCCTTTGTCGGCACGTATCACGGGAGATGTCGGAACGGGCGGAGCCGTGACTCATCTCTGCTCTTCTCCTCTCACTGTTTCTGGGAATTCCTCCTGCCTCCACTACAGGCACGGAACGCCCGGCCGCCCTTGGCTAACAGAGATCTGGGGTCTACGCCAGCACGCACGCATCGACTCAGATTTGTGGACGTCTGAGCCCAGAAGACGGGTCTACCTCCCCTTTTCCCCATCCAGCCTCACCGGAGCCTCTCAGTGACAAACGGTCCAGTTTGGGATTCCACCTGGACGGCCCAGGCGAGCCCCATCTCGTCAGAGGCCAGCAGCGAAGCAGGGTTGGCCCTGGCTAGTCCTTGGGTGGGAGACCACCGAGGAAGCCCAGGGTCTGCTAGGCACAGGAAGGCAGTGGCAAGAACCACCTCTCTTCGCCTCTTGCCCTGACCTGGAGGGGACAGGCGAGTCTCATCTCCTCCTCAGACCTCGGAAGCCAAACAGGGCCAAACATGGTTAGTATTTGGATGGGAAATCGCTGAGGAAGGCCAGGGTCCCTTCCAAGGGTCCCTCTAAGCTGTGGAGTCTTGTGAGCAAAAATTCCACTTTGCGAGCTACTACTGGCATCAAAGTTGTGAGTAGGGGATTTGGCTCCTGCATAAATCAGTTTGCTCTGGAGCCACATCCTTCCTGAGCGGAGACAAAAATGTGTGAGCCAGAGGCTAAAAAACTGGGAGCGAGCTCACGCTAACTCAGATTAGAGGGAGACAATGGATGCTTTGGAGGGGGGGCTCTGTGGCATTGTACTCCCCCCCCCGAGGTCTCTGTCCTCCCGGGGCTCCACCCCCAAATCCTCCAGGAGTTCCCTAGCCTGGAGGCTGGCAGCCCAAGACACTACACAGAGACAGGCGAGTAGGATGTGGCTCCAGAGCAAACTTAATTTATGCAGCACGCCAAATGGCTCGCTCATCACTTGAATGCCAGGAGCTCACAAAGTAGGATTTTTGCTCACAAGACTCCACAGCTTAGAGGGAGCAAGTCCGCTGCGATACAATGGCACGTCTCACCACCACCCATGATTTCTGCCGGCAATTGTGGCATTTCTACGTTACAGTGTCCTACTGTGAAGAGTTGCGGCCATCATAACACGAGGAGGAAGATACCAGGTGAGCAAAGAGACAGTCGTCAAGGTCTCCTCCAGAGAGCACTCCAGTGAATGGAAGGAGGATTTCAGCTGCTGTCCCTGAGCCTCCCCTCCCCAGCAGGGGGGAAACACACGGCATTTGTCTTCTCCTGCCCCCAACATGCTCTGTTTCAGTGGAACGCAGCAGCCTTGTGAAGCAGGTGGATTTCCAAAGAATGACTAAACTGTGGGGTACAAAGGTTGGCAAACTAGACTTCTTTGTTGTTGCTTTGGCATGGCTTTCCCCAAATTGGGCGCCACTTTTCCCAAATATTGCCACCCTCCACGGCTACTTCTGACAGACGGCAAACCATTTCCAAAGACCAGCAGCCAAACCACACAATTGAAAACTCGGCATCCTAGATTTAATCTGGCACCTTCCCACCCCCCACCCCCAAGAAACACTCGGTTGCCACCAATTCCCACAGGACGCCTTGACGCCGGACACGTTCTCCAGAACGTCCACCGGTCCTACCGCCATCTTGCCCTTCCCGCCCGTGGCAGCCCCACGCTTAATCCAGCCGGGCATCAGGCTACGCAGATCGGCAGCTTGTGGCACCATAATTATTTGTGCCTCCTCCTCAGTTTAGCAGACGGCTCAGGCCCTGATTCCCCCTCCGGTGCGGCTGGGAGCCCGGGAACCTCCCCCTCCCTGCCTCTGCTCCTGACCTACCTGCCAGAGGGTGCTGCTGCTCCACGTCCCACACCTTCGCTGCCCTCGGAGCCCCGCTGGCCAGGATGCCATCTGCCGTGGGGTGGAAGAGGACCACGCCCGCCTGGCCCCCCTCCGGCCCCAAGGCCACGTTGGGGGAAGAGGAGAGATCCGGACCGGAATCCAGGAGGCGCCAGACCTTCACCTGCGGCAAACAGAGGAGACGATGGAAAGGAGGTGACGGCGGCCGGACCTGGCCCCGCTTGAGTCCACGGGGGCCCACGAGGCGCCACGTCACCCAGACTCCCAACAAGAGCTGTGCTGTCTCTGTCACTACGTTCGCCGCCTCTGGAGTAGGAGAAGGCGTTTGGACTCTCGTGGGGCCCCGTGCTCAAAGGTGCGCTCTTCTAATCCGGCCCCCAATCTCCTATTCACAACCAGTGTTCCCTCTAAACTGAGTTAGTGTGAGCTAGCTCACAGTTTTTTAGCCTCCGGCTCACACATTTTCGTCTTAGCTCAGGAAGGAGGGCTCCAGAGCAAACTAATTCATGCAGTACAGCCAAATCGCTCGCTCACAACTTTCATGCCAGGAGCTCACAAAGTAGGATTTTTTCTCACAAGACTCCACAGCTTAGAGGGAGCATTGCTTGCAACCAGTGTTCCCTCTAAGCTGAGTGAGTGTGAGCTAGCTCACAGTTTTTTTAGCCTCTGGCTCACACATTTCCGTCTTAGCTCAGGAAGGAAGGCTCCAGAGCAAACTAATCTATGCAGTAGCCCTATCACTCACTCACAGTTTTAATGCCAGTAGCTCACAGAGTAGAATTTTTGCTCACAGGACTCCATAGCTTAGAGGGAACATTGGTCACAACACTGAGGCTGCCCCGTGGCACACAGTTCGATAGGTGACCCCCCCCGGCTATTGTTTGACATTCCCCACCGCTCCCCCCCACCTGAGCAGCACTGTCCATGCACAAGCGAAAAAGTTCGGCTGCAGAGGAATTTTCCGTTAACTGCCCACGAAGTTGGGGCCTTTACTCTCCCCAGCTCCCTAAATACCCCCCTCCCCGTCTAATATAGCTTCTTCACCCCCCAAACCTTCTCAGCAGCCTTGGCCCTTCCTGCTGCTTCCCCCCCCGCCACCCCCCCCCCATCGACACGCAAAGCCCGGGCAGGGACCTCAGAGGTTTGCCAAAGGACAGGATCCTGTCAGGTTTGGCACTCACAACTTCCTCGGCAGAGCACGTGGCCAGCACTTGATCGTCAAAGGGAGAGAAGTCAAAATCGGCCACCACACCTGGTGGGAGAGAGAGAAACAGAGAAAAGGAGTTTACTTGTTGCATCAATAGCTCTTCTGTCTTCCATCGGGGAACTCAAGGGCAGGATGTGTCGGAGGGTCCCCACTCGACCCGGATCTACATAGTGAGGGAGCCGCATCACAGCCCCCCCCCCCAGATTTCCGTAACTCTCACCCTACGACTCCCCTTATCGGGTGTCCTGTCCTGTCGACTGCACAGACTTACATGCTGTACCTGCAAGAGGGGTGTGACGGTACCTCTCTCTTATTCTGTCTGGTTGGGTGTGAAGGAGTTTTAAATTTCTTGTTGTTTCTTTCTCTCACTTAAAGTATCTATCGCTGCCACCAGGAATTCAATTCCAGACTTTAATTAACCTTTCCCACAGTATTGTGCCCGAGCGCTAAGGCGCCTTCGTTGGGCTATGCGGCTCTGAGGATAAGACTCTGGGTTAACAATAAATAAAACTTCATTGGTAAAAGAAGCGTATTGGTTACAGGATGATTTGTTAAGTTGCTAGTAGAATCTTTTCCCCTTTTTCTCAGGTCTCTTGTCAGCTTTTCCCCTTCGCACTCTTAAAATACAGAAGACGACGAAGACGAAGAAATTAGATTTATACCCTACCCTTCACTTGGAGCCTCAGAGCAGCTTACAAACTCCTTTCCCTCCCCCTCCCCCACCACAGACACCCTGTGAGGGAGGTGGGGCAGAGAGAGCGCTGACAGAAACGGCTCTTTTTCCAAGAACAGCTCTGACAGGACTATGGCCTGCCCAATGTCATCCAGCAGCTGCGAGTGGAGGAGTGGGGAAGCAAACCCGGTTCTCCCCGATTAGAATCCGCGCACTTAACCACGACACCAAACGTGGCTTAAGTATACGTTCTCCTTCTTTTAGAATCTTAATGCCTTTCCCAGCACCTCTATATGCTTGTTTGGAAGACTGTTTCTCTGACTGTGTAGATTGACCACAACTGACAGCTACTGACTGTGGACTGAACACTTCAGACTCCAAACTAAACTCAACTAGCAAGAGTTCTTGAACCTACAGCAAGCATATCTCTAATAAACTTTTCACTGCCAATAGTGTGCGTGGAGAGTGACTTAGCTGGGGACGTGACACAAGGCCAGGCAGAGTGGGCACCCAGTGACTCCTGCCAGTTTGGTGTAGTGGTTAAGTGCACGGACTCTAATCTGGGAGAACCGGGTTTGATTCCCCACTCCTCCTCCACTCGCACCTGCTGGATGACCTTGGGCAAGCCCTAGTTCTGATAAGAGCTGTCCTTGAAAAAGAGCCGTTTCTGTCAAGAGCTCTCTCAACCCCCACCTGCCTCACACGGGGTGTCTGTCGTGGGGAGGGGAAGGGAAAGGAGTTTGTAAGCCGCTCTGAGACTCCTTTGGGTAGTGAAGGGCCGTGGGGTAGAAACCCAATCTCTTCTTCTCCTTCTCTGGGGCTAACCACCCTCCCTGTGACACCCAAACGTGGCACACCAGCCCACTGGGAGCTGCACGAATCGCCCCCTAAAAGGCAGCCCGGCTCAGCCGCGAACAGGCAGATGGAGGCAGCGGGCACACCCGAGAAAGTAGGTCACTCACAGCAGCACCGTTTGCCTTTTCCCCGGGACTGCGAACAGATGCCAACCCCCATGGAGGGAGGCGGCCTCTTCTGGCATGCCAACACAAGGGGCGGGGGTAAGCCCACGTGCCGGCAGGCAGCCGTTACCCTGGCAACACCTCCTCCGGCTTCCTGCCTCTCCACTGCAAGAACGTGGTCTGCTCTTGCAAGGTGGTTCCCACTCTGCAACCAGGCCACGCCCGAAGAGTCAGCAGCGCTTGCCAGGCCGGGGATGGATGGATGGATGGGCCTTTCTCTCGTCCCGCCCACCCCCACCCTCCAGACAAAGAGCACCAGGAATTAAGAGCGCCTTTTCTCGCAGGGACAGCGGCAGCGCAAGGACACGAGGGTGGCAAGAACCGGCCCGCTCTGAACTGCTTGGGGACCAAACACAGGAGGACTCCGGAAACTTCGCAGAGATCTGGCCTTCTAGGTGTGGGCAACCCTGGCGTGCGGTCACAACTGTGGGCAGTGCGAGTTCTGGGTTCAGATCCCCCCTCACCAGGAGGGCCTTTTTACGCCTGTGAAATGCTAGGAGACTTTCTGTGCATTGTCATTGTGCATGTCACGTTGTTTTTACTGCATTATCTAATTTTGTGATACGCCCTTGTTACCTGTTCTCCAAATGTCACAGTCCCACTTTAGTTTCTGCATCGCAATTGTGTTTTCAGCGCATTCTCTAATTTTGTAATCCACCCCTCCTGTACTGCATTTCTTGGGCTATTCTTAGGTTTTCTTTCACTGCTATTAATTCTGTAGTCGGCCTTCAGCCTCAGCAGAAAGCCCGGCCATAAATGAATTCAATGAATAAACCCAGGGAGGGCCCTTGGGCCAGCCATGCCCTCTCAGCTTGGCCTACCTTGCAGGGCTCCTGAGAGGATAAAAGGGAGGAGGGCGCGAGGTCCCGTGTGCCTCCCTGAGTTTCTGGGAGGTGAGGCGGGGTAAGAAGCAGACCGAGAGGACCACAGGCGGAGTGAGACCTCTGCTTGCCTCCCAGACTCACCTGAATGGCAACGCAGCTGGGAAACGGGCCTCTCGTCCCCATCTCGGCTCTCCAGTGGCACAACGCCCAGCACACCTGGAAGAAAAAGGGGTTGGGCCAGGTGGGATCACAGGCCTCCCCTGCAGCAGCACCCAGGCTGTTCACCCCACCCAGGCTCTCTAGGGCATGGGGGAAGCGTGCAGACGGGGGGGGGGGTGCTGGAGATGAGGGAGCGTCTCCATCCTCACATCATCGAATGGTGGACGCTACTACCGAGCAACAAGATGCCAAGTGATCTTGGTGGGAATCCAGGCCCCTTCCCTCAGTCCGTTTGCCCAAAGTGATGCTACAGCTACTTTCACTTGGTGCCCCAAAAACTCACAGTGTGGCACCTGGGGGAGGGCGTGGGTCAGTGGCAGAGCTTCTGCCTGGCACACAGAAGGTCCCAGGTTCAACCCCTGGTAGCATCTCCAGTTAAAAAGGACCAGGCAGGAGGTGATGGGAAAGGCCTCCGCCTGAGACCCTGGAGAGCTGTCAAGAGGGGCCGTGGCTCAGTGGCAGAGCCTCTGCTTGCCATGCAGAAGGTCCCAGGTTCAATCCCCGGCAGCATCTCCAGTTAAAAAGGACCAGGCAGGAGGTGATGGGAAAGGCCTCCGCCTGAGACCCTGGAGAGCTGTCAAGAGGGGCCGTGGCTCAGTGGCAGAGCCTCTGCTTGCCATGCAGAAGGTCCCAGGTTCAATCCCCGGCAGCATCTCCAGTTAAAAAGGACCAGGCAGGAGGTGATGGGAAAGGCCTCCGCCTGAGACCCTGGAGAGCTGTCAAGAGGGGCCGTGGCTCAGTGGCAGAGCCTCTGCTTGCCATGCAGAAGGTCCCAGGTTCAATCCCCGGCAGCATCTCCAGTTAAAAAGGACCAGGCAGGAGGTGATGGGAAAGGCCTCCGCCTGAGACCCTGGAGAGCTGTCAAGAGGGGCCGTGGCTCAGTGGCAGAGCCTCTGCTTGCCATGCAGAAGGTCCCAGGTTCAATCCCCGGCAGCATCTCCAGTTAAAAAGGACCAGGCAGGAGGTGATGGGAAAGGCCTCCGCCTGAGACCCTGGAGAGCTGTCAAGAGGGGCCGTGGCTCAGTGGCAGAGCCTCTGCTTGCCATGCAGAAGGTCCCAGGTTCAATCCCCGGCAGCATCTCCAGTTAAAAAGGACCAGGCAGGAGGTGATGGGAAAGGCCTCCGCCTGAGACCCTGGAGAGCTGTCAAGAGGGGCCGTGGCTCAGTGGAAGAGCCTCTGCTGGGCATGCAGGAGGTCCCAGGTTCAATCCCCAGAGGCATCTCAATTTAAAAGGACCAGGCAGTAGGTGATGGGAAAGACCCTTTTCTGCTGGAGACTTTGGGGAGCTGCTGCCTGTCTGAGTAGACAACATGACAGGCTGAGGGGGGGTCTGCTTCAGGATCAGGCTGCTTCATGTGTTCACACAGCCTTCAAGGCCGATGCAGGCGCATCCCCAGGTCAAAGCGTGCCATGCGCCCCCCCCCCCTTTGGGCCAGGCCTTGCCGACCGCTCACCTGCAGAGTCCGTGCTGAACACGATCCAGCGGCAGCTGGTCTTGAGGTTGTTCCCGGAGGCAGAAGGGGAGCCGCCGCCACCGCGGATGCCTCGGATCCAGTCCTGCGACCCACAGACAAAAGAAGAGGAGGAGATTGGATCTATACCCGCCCTTCACTACCCGAAGGAGTCTCCGAGCGGCTTACAATCTCCTTTCCCTTCCCCACCACAGACACCCTGTGAGGCAGGTGGGGCTGAGAGAGCTCTTTCGAGGACTGCCCTTGAGAGAACTTGTGACTGCCCCAAGGTCACACCAGCAGCTGCATGTGGAGGCGTGGAGTACCAAACCTAATTCTCCCATATTAGAGTCTGCGCTCTTAACCACGACACCAAACTGGTTCTCAGGCAAGAGGGAGGGAGGGGGCGGCCCGTTTTGGGGGGAGGCTGCCCTGCTGCCTTCCACAGAGAAATCCTTTTGTGGTGAGGAAAGGAAACCACCTCCTCCTCCCCGAAATCACAGAGCACAAGGGAACGCTCAAGCACAGTCACACAAACAGCCTTATCTCTGCTGCCCCCCCCCCCCCCCACACTCCAGACTGCGGAGGAGGCCGTCCAAGAGTTGTCAGGACAAAGAGCATCTGTTCCGAGGGGAAGACCCTGCTGGTGCGTCCTTCTTTTGCACAGCTGACTCTCTGGCACGGGCGTTCGGGACGTGCCTTGGCTCGCCACGAAAACCACCCAGCCTTTTGAGGGGGAATTCGAGCAAACGCAGCCTCTCCCCTCTGCAGTGAGGGGACCAGCCACGTTCCCCAGGAGGCTTTGTCCCGCGTGGAACCTGCAAAGCTTTGAGGCTCTGGGGGCAGGAAGGCTGTGGGCCGCGGGGAGGTCGGCTTCTCAGGGCCCAGCGGTGGGATTAAAGCATGCGTTTCGGAAACAGGAGGCAGCCGGTGTGGCGTCTCAGCGCACCCCTGCTCCACCCCTCTGGTTCTGAGCGCCAAGGGAAGAGAGGCAGCTTTTCAACAAGCCAAGCCACGCACTCATCCTGTCCTTGAAAGACGGACGGGGAAGAAGGGTGCCGCCCGTCCCCCTGCCAACAGCAGCCTCCTCAGCAGGGCCTGGGCACTTCAGCCTCGTGTGGACCTCCCCTGACATTTCAAGGCCCAGATCCAGCTTTCAGCCTTTGGGTGCCGCCACACTTGGATTGGATCCCCGCAAGCCGCTGGCGCTCAGCAGCAGGGCAGGCCTGAGAAGACCCCGTGAGGTGAGGCCCCGCTCGGTGGCCAGGCCAGCCCACAGGCCCTGCCCAGTCTCCCTGGAGTTGGGGCAGCCGCGAGGCTCCTGGCGGGAAAGGCCCTTCCTGGGCCGCTGCTCAGCCGCTAGAGAGGCGGCGCTGCCACCCGGCCACGCGACAGAATCTCCGGGAGGGGGGTGGCCAAGAAGCCCCTGTCCGGCCAAGGCAGGGCACCGCTCATTCCGTCCCCCCTGCTGCCAAGGATCCCTTCGGTCGCGGCAGGTGCGAGGGGAGGGGAGGGGAGGGGAGGCACGCCCCAGGGCGCACGTGGGCACGCCACGGCCACTCCCCGGCCTCCAGGGCATGCGCTCGGGGGG